AATTATTTCCATTACTTCTGTATATGTGTGTATCTTGTGTTTCCGTAATTATATCCATTACTCCTGTATATGTGTGTATCTTGTGTTTCCGTAATTATATCCATTACTCCTGTATATGTGTGTATCCTGTGTTTCCATAATTATATCCATTACTCCTGTATGTGTGTGTATCTTGTGTTTCCATAATTATATCCATTGTTGTAGTTTTTTGATCTAATGTATAATGCTAAATATTTCTGAAACTGAATAATTTCTGAGTTTGGATTATTAATATGGACTTCTGTAGTGTGTAATGTACTAACTGTGATATTAAGTTTAACTGACTTTTATGAATGAAGTAATTTTTCTATTTTTCTAAAATTTTAGGCCTGAAATAAACACAACTTGCCTTTAAAAACTAATATAAAATACAAGAACCTTTCAGCCGTAGTACTGAATAGTTTGGAAGCATAGGTCCTTTTATGATTTTTCCATAATTAACTATTTGGGAGTCATGTAGTTTTTATGTTTTATTCACTGTATATTTACTATATAAGATATTTTGTTTCTTAATTTTCTCTCCATCATTTTTTGTAATTATTCAAATTGCTTGGTCAAAAAAACAAATAGATCTTTTCCAACAATTTTTGTTGGAAAATAATAACATTAAATAAATCTAAGATATGTAAGAGTTGGTTTAATTTTGTTAATCTCAATTCATGACTCCATTCCTTAATGGTAAATGTTAATGCCCATTTTTTAAATGTTGACTGTATATTGCAATAGTAATTGCTTACAAAATTTGTTTTAGTACTGACTCAAAATGTGGTCAACCAAGCATCATAAGACTGTTGTTTTTTGGCCTGATCCATGTATTAGCTAGTCTGAAACACAGAAAGAAAACTTGAAAGCTGAATTAAGTAGATAGTTGTAAAAAGATAAAGAAAAAATATTATGTAAAGTGAGTAAAAGAACACTGTAGCTCAGCTAAGCCTGATGAACAAAAATCATGAATACATAAGTACATGCTTGTAAATTCTGTACGTTAGAACATCAAGATATTACTCAATATTTGTTAGTTCACATGCGTTATCCATTTTCTTTTTTGGAACATATAGATAATTTTGAAACATTTATTTCTGCATTAATTAATCAATTTCATAACTTAAGATATTCATTCTTAAGTTTATAAACTTTTTTGTTTGTCTCTTTTCATCTCGCGCCCAAAGGTGGTTAGGGCGCTCCACTCGCAACCTGAGGGTCGCGAGTTAGAATCCTTGTCCCACCAAATATGTAACGGTCAGTCCCACTATTCCCAGGTAAAAAGTATCCGAAGAGTTGACGGTGCGAGGTGATTACTAGCTGCCTTCCGTCTAGTCTTTTTTTACTGCTAAATTAGGGATAGCTAGTGCAGATAGCCCTTGTATACCTTTGCACGAAAATTCAAACAAACCAAACCTCTTTTCATCTTACAATTTTTTTGTTTTTTGTAGAGAAAAGTAATTTCACTATGACTTGTAGGCTATTCTCTCATTTTGACTTCTTGTACCCACAAACTGGTTTTGAAATTTGATATAAAGGGCAGTTTTTCTTTGACACGATTTCACTATTAATAAGATTGATTTTCATTTACATTTCTCTTATGTTTCTTGAGAAGTGGTATTAGATGCAGGCTTATAACTCATCTGTTGTGCCTGTTTCAGATGTTTGCTTGCAGGCTCTCTACCTCTCGGTATGCTGTTATCAAGACCACCAGAATGGACAGTGTAGCTACAGGATGGAAAACTTGCGAGCTGTAGTGGGTACTGACAAGATACTTATAGATAAGGTAAGCCACGTATCAGTAAAACAGTAATGTTTATAGAAAAGGTTGGACATTATGGAAGCTAGCAAAAGGATGATATTTTGGTATTGTAGTAGATACTAACTGATGGTAGCATTAATATATAAATTGTATGGTGAATAAGAGCAAAGTATTTATTGCATCACACACAAACACCTAAAAGTGGTTATGTATATGTACAGGGTGGATGCTAAGAAGTTATTTGATGTACATCAGCATTGAATATATTTATGTACAGATTGTGTGATAAACACTAAGAAGTTATTGGTGGACATAAACTGATTATGTTTATATACTTATTGTGTGTGGTTGACATAAACATTGATTATGTTTATATACTTATTGTGTGGGGGTGGACACTAGCATTGATTATGTTTGGGTACTGATTGTGTGTGGGGGTGGACACTAGCATTGATTATGTTTGGGTACTGATTGTGTGTGGGGGTGGACACTAGCATTGATTATGTTTGGGTACTGATTGTGTGTGGGGGTGGACACTAGCATTGATTATGTTTGGGTACTGATTGTGTGTGGGGGTGGACACTAGCATTGATTATGTTTGGGTACCGATTGTGTGTGGGGGTGGACACTAGCATTGATTATGTTTGGGTACCGATTGTGTGCGGGGTGGACAACAAATACATCTTATATTTAAGGTTGGATGTGATATACAACTGATCAAGTGATTTTCCTATAAACAAGGTAGGCCAAGATGTTCATAAGTAGATTATGTATAAGGACAGGCTAAAAATGTTTGTTGCATTATTTATGAGTAAAAGATAAGAGACAAGGTAGTAATTGTTTTGTATCATGACCATAAAACATACCAACAATCAGGGTTTTCTGGTTGTAACAAAAGATAAAATAAATGAGTAACAAGGACACTCAGCTATGATTATCAGAGACAACATGTTTTTGGAAAATAATCTGTATATTGACAAAGCGGTTTAAGCTGACATATAGCAAGATGTTTATGAACACAGGAATCCATGGAGAATAATTTTTTCATGGAAGCAATTCTATGTTTAACAATGACAATTATTTAGTAATAAATCTATTTACTGATGAGATTAATGAATGGCATAAAATACTTTTAAGCAGATAAATGATGAAGACTGAAATACCATATTAGCAATGAAAAAACAACAGAATTTGTTGTTAAGAATATATTGACAGTGTTTGTTTATTATAAGTTCTTCTGATAATTTTTGCGCATTCATTTAAATTGATATGTTTGTTGTTTCAGATTGAGCCTCAAGAAACATACCGTCATCAGTGTGGATTTGTTTTCTTCTTTACTGGAGTGTTTAAGTTGGATATTCGCTGTACCAGCACCAAGTATCATGGTGTGGGGGCAATGGTAGGTTCAGCTGTTGAAGAACAGCCAAGAGGTCTTTCAACCAGACCTGCCCGAGGGGGTAGGCTTCTGGATGGAAAAACTGCTAGCATGTTTTCTAAGGATCCAGAAGATAACAGACATATATGGAAATGTACACCCTCAATTGAAATTACTATCACCGAAAGTTGAGAAATCATAATTTTTCTGTTGAGAATTTCTGAAAGCTTTGAGAGTGCTAACAACTGTGCCAGTATTGAAGTTTATGAGATCCTTGCAGATACCTCTCAGTGGAATATATATATAGAAAAAGTATGTGGTTTCTGCTATTAAAAAAAAATTTACTTATGTGCCACACGATTTTGTTTATTGAATTGAAGAAACTGGTTGCCGAAACTGGAGGATGGTTGTATTTG